CTTGTAGTAACACCATAAGTCTGGGGGTGTCCAGTGTTTCTCCCTGGAAGCAAGCAAACATCAAGTCTTGTAATGCATGTCTAAAATTGTCTCACATCTATGTTTGGATGCATATTTAACAACTATTCCACAAGCGCGCGTTGGATACAAGATGGTAGATAGCCAATGATTACAGAAAACTAGACTGAAGTAAAAATAAAAATGCCCCAAAAATTGTTGTTGTAATTACCAGTAGTGCAGGAAACCAATAAAATACTTAACTACTAAAAAAAAAAATGCCCCAAAAATTCACACGTATGCTTACTGTATTTGTAGAGCATAGTATAATGGCCCATAACCCATGATGGTTAAGCCAATGAAAACTCTTGAATTTGATTGTCCAATGATCCAGTTTTTAATAATGTGTTATATGGAAACATGGAAAATTATCAGACTAAAAAAAGGTAACTACAGTCGAACCTCCCATGAGCAACCACCCAAAATGTCAAGCCTAGGTGGTCGCCTACGGGAGGTGGTCACCTACCGGAGGTGGTGGCTTATGAGAGCTTAGACCATATTGGTTCAAAATTTTGCCTCATTAGCATATGGTAACAGCAGAGACTTACCCCATGTTTTAATGTTTTATTCACATGTAAAGTCAATTTTGAGAGAAAATCCAGTACTTCGCATTGAGAAATTTCCATCTCTTGTACTACCCAGGAATGCGATAATACAAGGTCAACACTTAATTATCCAATTTACTCTCTATTACCTGTCAAGTCAAAAATATAGTGATTTGACTTGGAAACTTTTGGTTTTTTGGAAAACTGGTTGCTGAGGAAAGGTGGTTGCTTACGAGAGGTGGTCACCACTGGAGGTTCGCTGTATTACATAGTGTTGCCAATAAACAATAACGCTTGTAAAACATAGTTTAAGGTTACACTAGGAAAGTAAACCTCCATGTATTGATAATTGATAATAATAATAATTGGACATGAATGCAAGGATACTAGTGAGGTAATAGCTCTCTAATGAAAGCCTTCACCTGTTGAAATAATGTAGAGTGCATATAATTAGAAGGTAACTTTAAGGTTGGTCTGTTTCAAGAATGAACTCTTCATTTGAATCATGCAAGTTAGAAGTGACACAAGAAAAAAGATCTCTTGATAAATCCATTGCATCATGATTGCAAAGAAACAATATTTTATATAATGCTTCATTGCAATATACAAAATTAAGATAAACCACAACATGGTACAACATTTACCTCTGGTAGAGAATTTAAACGTCATCCACCACAAGTCTGAAGAAAAACAATCAAAAATCAATTAACTAGCATGGATCTTAGGTGCTAAACACTTTATTGAACTTAGTTTTGGACATACACCTCTGCCTTGGGAATGCAATAACAGATGTCTGTCATATGCAGGCTACATGTCAGGACGGTATGCAGCAGCAGCTCAAAGCCTGCCCAGGGTTTTTGGTCCTGGAACTAAGTAACTGCATTTAGTATTGCTACTTTCTACCAGAATTGTACCAGGTTTCCTAAGGAAGTTGCTAAGAGGCATTTGATTTATACTGTGGGTAGAGAAGAGGGCCTGTGTCAGAACAGAACACAGCAGCCCAGAGTACTCTAACCATATGCATTAGGCTAACTACTGGATGATTACATAGTAGTAGTCAGGGATTCAAAATGTTTTGAACTAGGTGTCTGCAGCTGGAAGAGTAGATGGCTGCTCACCTTAAGGGGTCTGGGGTAGTACCCCCCTCCCCCAGAAAATTTTGAAATCTACAATGTACATGTAGAAGCTAGGAAATGCCATGAGAAATTACCAGCTTAGGATTTTCACCTTAAAGGGGTGAGAATCAAGCGATAAAATCATCACTGACATTGGTTAAAGGTTTCAAATTTCACATTGCATTTTGTTTTGCCAGTATGCAAATTTTCTATCTTGTTAAAATTATTTTGCAAATGAAAGGTCACTCTTGCCATTTTCTTTATTTATTATTTATATTAATCAGAGAAGTTGATATCTTGACTTCATTTTACCTATATTTTCAATATTTTTTAACTGCAATGACGATTCATTTTAATCACCCCCAAGACAGCCAAGTCAAATCATTACGGCCAAAACCGCCAGTTTACATCAGACTGTGAATTACTCACATCAATCAATGTCTAGAAGACTCTTAGGGATTTTCAAGCCAGAATTGTGCAGCTTGGAGACCTTCTCTAGGTGGGTCAACAATAAAATTATTTAAAAAATAATTTGCAAAAAATGGATGATGAAATTGAAATCTTCTGGCACCATAGAAAGTCTCAACTTTCTCAAGTGTTTGTACCATGCTATACAAGGTGGCCATTTCTTACCTGTATTTCTTTTATTAAACAGGGCCTTCAAAATGCTAATAATATGTCATCACCCAGTTAAAATGACCTTGTTAAAAAAAACAACTTCACAACCAATCAGACTGTGCTTAGTGTGACATGTTTAAAATGATCAAAACTTTCTAATTAATTATTCAGAAACACAGAAACAGAACAGAGTCACAAAAATGTTTGCTGCTGAGGGCAAGCATGTGCTTTCCATTCATTTCTTTGTTGTCTTAGGATGACAAAAGAGGCGATAATTCTACCAAAAAATAACACTACATTTTCACTGGTATTATGTTCGTGGTTGCAAAAATGGTGTAAAACGGTCCAAAGAGGAATAAGTCATGTTGCTACAAATCATGTTCATGATTAGCTAGTTCTGAAGACAGATTTGAACAAAGTGAAAATAATGCCAAATATCGTTTATCGTTTGAGTGTCCTCATTCCAAAAACGGTTTAAAATAAGAGAAAAAAAATCATAAGCAGAAGAATGGAACTACACTTGAGGCACAAAATTTCCTCATTTCAATCGCTCTGATCATGTGTTGTTAAATACAGATTCAAGCTGTTTCCTGCCTACCAGGCATCCAACGATAGAGACTTGCAAGTGATGTTCAATAGATGTTACCCATTCTACAGGTTAGAACTAGAAGAATCTCGTCCTAATACCAATTTGATGAGTGTAACATTTACAGGAACACAATAGGCTTTCATACGATCGAGAATGGTGTCGCTAAAAGTTAACAAGATAGGCTTACAAATGCGGGCCTGAACAAACCTCTAAGCGAGCTCTCACGATAGCTCCTTTTCCCACGTCCTGTTTCTCTTCAGAGTTTGCAGCCGTGAAAATAGTAAAGAGAAGTAATGTGGTTAGCGGCAGAAGCCCCCACATATTTCTCCCTTTCCTCGAGCAACGCGAAACAACGTGTCCCAAATTGTCCCAAATGGTCCCAAATGTAAGCCCTCCAAGCCTTAGGTAGTTCAACATCTCCTTGACCAGCGGTGTGAAAACAATTCCGAGCTTTCCCGACTCATACCGACTGTTTCACGAGTTCTCGCGAGTAGAAAGGTTCCACCAGTTCGATCGATCCTCCCAATCTTATTAACTGCGCTGCCTAACTAGGGCAAGCACGGGGTTTTTTTATCGTCTATATCCAGCCGAACTGGAAAGAAAACTTATGGCTTTCTTGAGTCGAACTGGTCGTAAGGAGGCGGTAAAATATATAGTAGAATAACAAAATTAGCCGTTATGGAAAGTTAGGTTTGAGATTTATTTTTCTGTGTGGTTTTCAAGTGTTTTATTTGAGCCAGGCTGAAAGTTTTAGCTCGGAGTACAGCGATGTTCCTTGCGACGTCAAGAGCTCTGTAACGATTACCGTGGTTTGCGAAAACAAGGACAACAAGAGAATAATAAATGCCATTGTTTTTCAATCAACGCTCTCTTCACTTCTATGTGAGATTACGTACCGATTTGTTCGATTTTGTAGAAGCATTTTGAAATAGTTTGGGATACATTTGGGAATTTCCGAATTTCAGTTGTTTAGAAATTTTACTATATGATATAATTTTTTGGTTATTGATCGAGGTAGCCAAAGAAAAAGGAAATATATCCCAAAAAGCAATCGAATGCAGAAAGGAAAGGAGCGGTTGAACTTAAAAATTATAACGAGACACAAGAAGAAATGGGTATCTGCAGGCAAAATTAATTATGATTGTAAGGTAGATGTGTCGGCTATTCTCATCACTGCACTCATTTGTTAGGAAACTAATTATTTCTCAGCTGTGGGACCAGAAATTAATAATTCCTTCCGTTATTTACGAACTAGTCAATTAAGGACTGGCGTACGCTGACACTTGAATTCAACCAAACCTGAATTAGAATCAACTTCAAGAACCTCATTACTTACAATCTTTCCTCTCTGCAAGGCTAGTCCTAAATCCTTCAAAAATTTCTAATTTGTATCCATTCTTTCTAATCAGAATTCTCTCATTTGTTCAATTCAATCTAAACGAGAGCTTTTTGACAGACACCTGAGTTTTGTCAAACTGAGCTTTAATCTACCTTAATGTATTCTTGTATCAGAAAACAACACTTGACTGACTTCCAAATTTGCAAAGTTTTGCGCGAACAAAGAAACATACTCTGTTTAATCTTATATTGTTTAGTTTTCCAACCTGTGGGCAGCTGGAAACACATAGTTTTGCATGAGAATAGAATTTATCTTTTGAGAAAAGCAATACTTCAGAGCATGCGTCACAACAGGTCCTCATGCCTGCAAGTGCTTGTAAACACGCGAAGCCTTGTCCGACAGAAGGTGTTCGCGGGTACGTTTACAAATGTAGCGAGTGGTCTCACCAATGTAGCAGGCATTACAGCCAGCACATGTGAATTTATAAACGACACGCGAACTGAGACTGCGGCACGGAATTTTTCACGCTGAACATGTTTCTAACCTTAAATGTAGAAAAAAACTAAATCAATATCTAGATCAGTTTTGCAATAACATTTGAGCAGATGTCTTAATTTAATCTGCGCGACTTTAGAAAAACGGCCGCTTTTGCCGTTTTCGGCCGTTTTTGCGGTTAGAAATAAATGGCACCGACTTTCTAATCGTAAACCTGGCCATGTCTGACATGCTGTTTCCAATGTTCGGCTTTCCATGGATTCTAACAGGATTGTTCGTGGACTCCTGGCTGATCAGTGGCTCACTTGGCCAAGCCACATGCAAACTGCTTTCATTCCTACAAGGTATCTCGCCTACTGTTTCTATACAGAGCCTAGTTCCGATAGCAGTGGACCGATTCGTAGCAGTGGTATTTCCCCTTAGTTATCGAGTAAACAGTTCAAAGGTGTGCCTCTCCCTAATCATCGCCTCTTGGATCGTTGGTATAGCTATCCAGTTGCTCTACACCCTGCCCTTCAAGCTGGTTAAATACCCAGACAGGATAGTGAACAGACCACTGTGGAGTGAAGTCTTTGGAGCGTCTTTCAAAAACCAGTACTTTGTGGCATTTTCGCTTGTATTCGTTTTTATCCCATTGGTGTTGATAACCATTCTCTACATTATCATCTATCTTAAGCTCAAGTCACAGAGGATTCCAGGTGAAAAGTCACAGGTCAAAGTTGGACAACAACGCGAGCGAAGAGAAAGAAATGTGTTAAGGATGGCCATTGCTATAGTAATCGGATTTGCAATATGCTGGTTATCGATCACTATCAGTGGGACTCTGTTCGTCTTTGCATCGGATATCACCACATCGTCTTGTGGATTCACTGCCTTCAGATTTAGTGCTTCACTAATGGCTTTCGCAAACTCTGCCATAAATCCTTGCATCTGCTTTATTTTCAGTGCAAATTATCGTCAAGGACTTCAGCACTTGTACAGCCGTATGCGTGCCGGTACTAAAATAAGGCAGTCGTAATATAAGCAAGTCATATCGTTGTTTAAAATTTGAGGAATGAGCCGTGAAAACGACTCAGTCAACCATGATTTTAGTCGGTGAACAGCACATATTTTTGCTTGAAGAATTCCCTAAGTCAAAAGAGCGTTGACACATAAGTTAATATTAGCTAAAAAAGGATAATGTTTAGTGGGTAGTAGCAGTTAAAAACTGCTTTGCATTCAGTTGACTCAATGTACACTGAAAGGAACTTTGTAAAACGCTTATTAACGTTCTTTGGACAATCATTTTGTAGCTACTTTGTAAACTCTATAATTGGTATGCATGAGTTCTTGAAAATAACAGGGAATTTTAGTCGAGCTGAAACTGGTACGAAATAATACTTTATTTCAAAGCTAATTTGGATTTATTGACTCTACACATAAACATGCTCCCCAGTAAAGAACGGTTGCTGACTATTTTTTTGGACACTGGATCGATTTACAATAACTTTGTTGTTATTCTGTGAACTTTTGTGTTATTTTATTAAAATTGTACAGTAACAACATGAGCTAAAAAGCAGTATAGTAAATTCACTTGCTTTCCATAGCCAGCTTCTTTATTTCAAACTTCCCACATTAAATATTTATCTTTAGACATATCAGTCTCAAAACAAGCCAACCCCCTCACCCTTTCCCTCCTCTACTACACAAACCGCCACGCTTATCGGCTCTTATCAACCCTCGTCTGCAAGTTTTTCGCAAGACGGGTTGCCTGAGAATTCACGGATTGTTCACGGATTTGGTTTATCAGGATGCAAGGAGTCTTTTTCTAGGAAAACTGACTTGAAAACTGCACGTCTTTGATTCTGACAGGGAACTCATTAACATTTGGTTACTAAGTATTTATGAGCTGGTCACTGTTTCCGAGGATAAAACAATTTACCAGTCATTTTCCTTTTTTTTGTCCAGAATCACTCTATGTCTAGTTTTGTGGGTTGCAAATATGTGGGTTTGGTTGGTTGTTGTTGTTTTTTTTCTGAGCAGTTCATTGTCACACTTAATATTATATAACACCAGGAACCCCTTCTGAATTACTGAAGCTGAAGAGAGGTTGTGGGAACATTGATGTCAGTGGGTCTGCTTTGTCTGTTGACTGAGGGGGAAAGTCTCAGCCTGAAATGTCAGTCAGCTTGGGGTGGGAGATGACTGACATTTCAGGCTAGGGAGGCGCCTTTCAATCATTTGAAGGTGGTAATCATCCCATACAGTGCCCAGTGCCCAGTGCCCGATGTACTTCATGAGGAGAACACGGGGAACCACAGACACAACAAATAAAAAACTTCAAAGCCAATTATTTGATAATCCTAGATCATGCAGGGTCCAAGACCCCGTTGATTGTCAAACACGAGAAAAAAAGGATTAGCTTAAAACCGTGTTTCCGTTCGTTGCTTCTGTAAATCAATATAGATTAGTGCCGCGCAAAGGAGATCGGGAAGGCGAAAATGTTCCCTTGTACTTCGCACGACCCTCGTTACCAGTCGCTCTTGCTTCGCGCTTCTTCAAAGCGCCCGGAATGCGCGGCTGTCGTGCTCTAAATATTTTTCCTCTCTTGAATGAACCTTACACCTCGCCCAGCACTAATGAGGCTTCGTTGTTGTTCCGGTCACAGAGGATCCTTCCAATAAAGGACGAGTGCAAATTCTTCCTGCGTTTTTAAAAACAAAAAGGTCATGCGCAGCTAATGTATGATAATAGGAACGAGGAAGGGTTGAAAGGAATGGTGACTGTAGGGTGAGTTTGCTCTTCTCCTTTTAATCTCGTATCACGAAACACAAGTCTGTATATATTAAGTACAACTGGTGTAAACGGATTGTATATAAGTCTTCATTACCCGCCCGTTAGCAACGTTTGACTGTTTTTATTGATATTTAATTTACATCATTCTCGTTTGTACGTTCAGCTCTACTCAGGGCTACAGTTTAGCTCAACCACGAACAGAACGCAGTCATGTGACCAATAACTGACCAATACCTAAATGACACGCGTGTAAATCGCTCCCTATTTGGTTTTTAAAAGAAAAACAAACAGATTTAACTCAGAGATAAGAAAAACTAAACATGAAGAACGTGCTATAAAAGTGTACATGAATTTAAGAAAAAAAACTTGGACTGTCAGCGTGGAGGTCATAACTGCGTTGCTGTACAGAAAAAAGCCAGACTGCCAACAGTTTTGGTTTATCATTTTTGGAAATACAGGACGTTTACCATTACAAAAACAATCTGAACCGTTCAGTAGTATCTAAGTATCTATAAGTATTTCTTAATAAATAATGAAATCTATTGATTTGGTAGTAAGCACATATCGTCGCTCACCGTCGTAAAAATTAACTAGTCTAGCTAGTTTTAGCTCGTTAAACAAAGGTCCATTCAGCTCCATTCAGCTACGAAAGTTTTAATCATATAAACGCAATCAGATCGAGTCAGTTAAGAAATTTCTAATCATAAACAAAATCAAAGGGTTACAATTGATAATTGTTAATAATTGTTCAAATTAGTGGCACCTATTTTTTCAGCTCAGTTACACGTTCGCATCCGCGCAAAACCTAAGTCATTAAGTTTCATTAACATAATTCAGTTTAACAAGTACTGTTCTCTCTTCTCTCGTCTCTCTTCTCTCCAATCTAACTAGAGTTCCTCATTCACGAGTACCAGCTCGTCCCCATCTAGCAAGGAACAAGCATTGAAGGATTAATTTATCAAGTGTGATTTAGTTCACAACAAATAATCTGTTTGCATTTAAAGTGTTGTGGCTTCCGGTACCAGTATTTTAGCTACTTCACGCGCAAACGCGGAGACGTTCGTCACCTTTCCGCGCAAAATAATTGGCGCGCAGGCTACATTGTCGTGAGGTAGGTTCACACCAGTTAGAAAATGCTATTTTAGCTAAGTTATTGACCTGGTTCTCCAGGAGTGAATGACAAATGTGAAAGGAATCAAGTAAAAAGCCTCAGCTTAAATAAGAGTCAGATACTTGGGCTTTCGATGCATGAAGCCTATTAGTGCTAAGTAAAGTATACTACAAATTTCTTTTAGAGCTGGTCACCGAAAGCCACACCCACAAAAAAATATAAGAAATATTTACCCTTTTGTGGCTTAAATATTAAACTTGACACGGGTTTCTCCAGGGTGCTATAGGATAAAACTTTAGAGCAGTTTAAAGAATTGTTTTCCTCGTTACACTGACATGATAACAGCAGCTCCCACTTCACACTTAAACGTTTCAAATACTTCAACCAATACAGTATAAACTGAGCTATCCACTGGTTAGCCCTTAACTCACAAATAATAGATTCACATAACTCAATAGTTCACGCTTTTTCCTGTTTTTTTGTTTGTTTGTTTGTTTGTTTGTTTGTTTGTTTCTATGTACAGGGATAAATAGTTATCTTGTATATTTTCTGCCATAGTTTTGTCCTAGTTAGAAGTCGTCCTTCCTCCAGGGAAATTCTCAATAACTTAGAGCTCTAAGCTTGTTAAATAATACTTGGAGTAATCAAGGCGACATATTATAGCTGAGGCCTTGATAATTAATTTACTGGCGGTTAATTTATGCAGTATTTTACTGGTTCTTGATAAGTTCTTGGACTTTCGCCACCAGGCCTCGCGCCACCTTTAGCGCCGCCTTCGCATCATGACGCTCCGCCATTTCTGAAATTCAAAACAAAGTTATAAAGTATAATCAAGGTAAAAAGTCTCCCTATTGAGCTCTATACATTTCTTATAGTGCTAGTCTAGAGAATCTGATCATGTATGAACCCACCATGAAAATTCTTCTCATTCTGTCGAGTCAATTTGATATTTCAAAACAATTTCCTTAAATCTCTCTGATCAGCGTCTTTCTTCTCATAACATTCATTATCATCTTTACACTTCTTCGTCAAGGAGACATTAGATTCCAATCAGCCTGATCAGTGTTACGGTAAAAGAAGTAACACAGATGTTTATATCTCTGATCTTACCATTGAAAAACTTGATGATGTCGGTGAAATCCATTTTGTTATCCAAAATGATATCTCTGAAAGACAAGAGGAATATGCTATCAAAGTATATAGATAAAGAGGCAAAGGGAAAACCATCACGTGGAGTTCGCGGAGACTACAGGCACCAGAAAAACACTTTCTTCCTAATTCAATCAATAGATGAATTGCAACCAATCCCGAGAGATTCAAATGACAAAGTCCAGGTGGCCACGTTGGATGGCACAAACACTGGAAGCCAGTTAGAGATTTTATTGGATGTCGTTCAATACTGATGGCGGCAATAGCGTCACCTGAAAACCAAGAATTAATGGACGTCAAAACAACATATGTTTTACCTGTAAAACTGAAGCAGTGCGAGAGCGATAAACAGTACGAAGTGTTCCGAAGTACAGTGCCTCGCTGCCCAGATAGACTCCCATACCACAAACACGTCGTCATAGAGAAGCTCTGCAAAGACAAGCATTCAACAGAAACAACGTATGAACAATTACGATATCGGTAACAAACGCTAACAAAGCTGCTCTTGTCATGACATTTGTGAGTGAACATTTGTTTGTGAGTTTGCTTGCCTGTTTGTTTTGTTAGTTTCTTTGCTTGCTTGCTCACAGTGTCCTCAAATAATGCGCGTTAAACTGGTTTACCTTTTTTTCATTTATCAAGAAAATACCTATAGGCACGTCACCTTCTAAATGCTCAAAAACGCAGGCGATATGGCAAAATTAACATGACGTGTCCACTAGTTCGATTCATCTATTAATCCTGAGAAATAAACCCAATTACTGCATGCTGCCAATCATGAAATCATACAAAATGAATGGCAACTCCAGTCATTCTGACCCAGTAAGCTTTCAGTATTTCTTTTTTTACACAATATAGTCGGCTTTAGAGTTAGGTGCGGTGAATCAATCAACACGTACCTCTCTTGAAGTCAAGCAGAAACCATCTGTAGCAGAAGTAAAAATGCGTCAGGTCACCATTCTGCTGAAGATGCTCAAACATTTCTGGGTCAAGAATCTGTGAGGGATCAAACAGAACAATGTTTAAATACACGTAGACCAAACTTTGACTAACCGATGTCACCCCCGCCAGGTATTTCAAAGCATAAACCCTGAACTGTACTCCATTCTGCCTCATTGAACAGAAGTCAAGAGTTGAAATATAGTGGAACCTGAGATAACGAAATCCTTTATATCGTTGTCCACGGCATACCCCCGGCGGGGTAAGAGGGGACTCCCATATGAAAAGGTCGGGGATACTCGTCGGAAAATTTCAATTAAACTCCTTAAGGAACCTAATCTGGGAGTGGAAGTCCCCCAGGGGGGTATACCGAACGATATTCTTCATCCCCGCTAAAGTAATTAACTGTAACACGTAACGAACCCCCGTTATCACCGGTGAACACATTCTGCCGGTCTTTTAGCCCTTCGTTATACTGTAACCACAATTAAACGTACTTGAATTAATGATCGCATGTTTGCAAAGTGCGTGTCCATTGCTCCGCCATGCGGGAAGTTGTTGTTCATTCTTTGCATGAGATCCACGAAACAGCTGTAGGTTACCGCCTCTGCAAAGAAAATGGAAAAACGCTCACAGACTCGAACAGGCGTCTTTGTGGGTGGAACCTTGTCTACGAGAATTAGCTACAAATTTCCACATGTTAACACATCTTGAAATTTCAACACGTTTTCACCAAGGTTTGCGGAAATAAAAGGGGAACTTGTTTACCTCAATTACACGTCACACTTAAGTTATACATATCCGCATTATTTGTCGTTACTTCATCTCAGCATATTCCACTGTTAAATAACTTACCACTATCAAAGATAACAAGCAGAGGAGCCACAAGGTCACACATGCCCTGAACATAACCCACATCCAGCGTCTTCCACACGTAACTGTCAGAACAAAAACAGCATAATCAAACTATATTTAATCAACGATCAGACGTTCTTTTTTTCGCGAAAGAACGCCTAATTGCGAGATAAAGCACGAAGCAACACGATAATATGAGAGCACTTTCATTGTGAAGCTGACCTCCTCATTACCTACTAATGACGTTTCGTAGTTTATTGAGGTTCTCGTGTGTGAAGTATGGATAGTTACGATCACATCTTAGCACGTCTTTCTCGATTCGATGAAGATTTAAATCGAAGTCGTCAAGGAGTTCAGTCTACAAAAAAAACATACACTTATTCAACGATTAATTGGACGAGCATAAATTGATAATCATTTTTTTTATGACACAAGCGATTGTATGTTTAAAAGAAATACATGTTGTTCAATTTGGAAATAATCAGATGAAAAAAAAAATCCAAGGACTATACTCATAGTTATAGTTTTAGACCTGTAAATTCCTAAAATAAAATGAATAGTAAAGTTAACCATTAGACCTTCCACCATGCACTGAAGGCTGTAGAGCTGAAAGCCCTTGAACAGTTAAGTCAGTGACCCCCCGCCATGATTACTTTGATCAACTTAATGCTATATTTTACTTGATAAACCAAGCCAGAAATTTTACGTTGCTCATTCAAATTCGACTAAGGCGATGGAGATGTTTCTGGAAAATATGAAGTAGTAACCGAGCCTACTTCATTGACATAACACTCAGACTCTACCGTGGAACTCACCGAGTACTGGCAGGAGGCTCTAGACCCAGTGCTTCCCTGGCTGCACTGTTTACAAAGGACTGGTACCTCAGTGTCGTCTCTCTCGTGACCTGTCCGTTGTGATTCCTGTTCACTACTCTCCTCGGTGTGTGTGGAATCGTGCCCGTTTGGCAAGTCACCTGTCCCATTTCCATTCAGTTCCACAGAAGAATTAAATCTCTTACTACACCGCTGGCAAGTTCTTGCCATTGTAATCCACTTGCCGTTTTCCTCCCCGCAATCACTACAACACCCACTCTCGGCCTCGTCGCCATTTTTGTTGGGAATAATAAGCTGTCCATTCATGAGTCTAGCCTTTCCATCGTCATCGAGTCCTTCAATCTCAGGTTCCTCAATACTGACTCTCTGATGGTGTAAATTTTCGGATTTTTCCAGCCCGTTACTGATCATTTCTAACTGTTCATAAACCTCATCCCTACTTCCAGTACTGTCCATTGAAATACCGTCCATTTCACGGTCCTTCTCCTGTTGTCGGATGACGCTCTCCACGTCTTTCCACTCTTCCATGATAGAGCGAAACTCCTCATTGGCAGCTTTGTCGGTAGCTTGTCGATCTCCCGGTGTACTTCCAAACTTGTAGTGTCCAAGTAAATATGGCCACACCTAAACACAAGATAGAAATTCAATCAACATTTCTTACGCACATTATTAACCAATGAACAATAATCCGTTACAGGCAGAAGTCTGGTAGATCGTACCTCACTTCTTATGGAGTGTTCTATTCCTCCAAAGTAAACATACTTCTTCACAGTATCTTCATCTTTAATCTGGAAACCAATCAGTTAGTTAAGAGTTGAATTATGGTACGAGATAATTACAGATACATTTATACATTGTATAGAGCTAAAAAAAACAACAACAACTTCCCAAGTAGTCACGAGGGTTAGCTAACAAAAAGCTTGATTGCTGTTTTCTAACCTACCTGTCCTTTGTTGTACATGTTTCTCCACACTTCCTCTGTGAGGCCCTGTGTATAATCGAGTCCGTTCTCTTCTGAACTGATTTTGCTGTGATGAACTAGCCATAACAAGTGTGTTCTCACTGTCTTAAGGTGACGCACGTATGACAGCCCTAGTAACAAAGTGTACTCTCTGTAAACACACAAATACTTCAAATTCTGATCATGGATTCATCATTTTAGATCAAATTGTCGCAATCTGCTTAGAGTAGGGTAAACGAGGGGCAAAAGACCCTCCGTAAATTTATTCTTCCCCCGCCCAATGCAAAAAGCCTACAAGAAGGGTGACTGCCACGTAGCTCTAACTGAGTGAAGAAAGAGGGTGCTTACTGGAAGGGGGTACTACTTCGAATCATTAACAGCAGATAAATTAGCTGCCCGATAAACAAATGAACTCATTAATCCTAACAAAGGGTTTAATCATTGTGTGACCAAAAAAGGTAGCTCAGCAATTAACGATTCTCGTAAAGAATAAATCTCATTGTTTACATACATCCATTAAAGGCTCGTAGAGTAATTTGTCTTCTCATCGTTTCACATGCACTACTCAGGCACTCCCTGAAAAATCCAACAACAACAGTACCTTAGAGAACGATATTAAATGAATTATGTCAAAGTGCAGACTTCATTCTAGTATTTCACTCCCGTGGAAACAAACACTTCTCGTGAACAACTTCATTACCGTACATGTACATTACAGGGTAACAAAGGATATGGTGTGACAAACAGAAGAACTGTGAAGAAAACGTGACAACCTATGATGATGGATAAAAAGAGGTTGCCGGATCAACTTGAAGAGGATTCATCTGTCAACAGAACTGTTACAGAACTCACATTGTGTGAGGTGAAGATTGTTTCTGGTTTCGTTTGAAGCTGGATTGTAGACGTGAGCTTAAGTCCTGTCGTCTCCATGGCAACCCACCCTGCCTCTTGAAAGACTTTTGAGAAGACCACCGATCCATTTCCTTGGATACTTGGAATACAAAACAAAAGAACAATGTTACATCAATAGAACAAAACAGATAAAAAAACCATGTCAGAGACTGGTCAGAAACCAGCAAAAGTGTGGGACACAGCGAGTAATTCCCAGCGCGCAAGATAGCGCCCTCTTGCTTGCTCGGGTAGCCTATCACAGCGCAAGAGCTAGCCATATACATGTAATAAATTCTAATCACAGTACCCTCATGACCTGTTGTAGCAAATGGTTATTGCAAATTTATTCCAAGAAATGTACCTGTACTAGACACTTAAAACAGATTTACTATACAAGCAGCGTACAATATCTTTTGTTAATGACAGTCAGAGCTATTGAAACAAAACAATTTTACTAAACGTCCAAACACACATACCCACATCCTCTGGCTTTGTTCCAGAAACCAATCTAAACACATAGTCTTGATTTGCATTATCCCCTTTTGAAAATGGCATCAGGGGTAAGTTATCACCCGAAGCTGGTCTCTTGAGGCGTGGCAGGGCAAGCCCTTTAGAACGCGGGTTAAACAAAGGAGGGTCCAATTCACCATGAGGGTGGAGACCATTCTCAAGGCAGTTTAAGAATGACAATAAAGACCCTGTTGTTGGGAAGCGGATTGGTGGACGCTGAACTCCATCTTGTCCAATCAGAATAACCACTCCATATAAACCTGAAATTCACAACAAAATTTAGTGAACAAATAACACACCAAAGCCACTCAAACTTGTGAACAGTAACATGTACCACTACTCCCACTCTTGTCCTGCTTCCCTTCCTACAACCTTTCACCATCCCCCCTTAAATTATACACTATACATGGATATCATGCTTGTTATACTGCCAACAGTCAAGCACAAAATTTCTTTAAATACAGTGTTCATTCTATGCATATTTAGCAATACTAGTCAACCATTTTCTGATTACCTGAGGTTATAATTATACTACGATTATCAGTTGAGAAAGGCATGACGGAAGTTTGGCCACAAAGTTTTAGCCTTAAAATTACCGTGTTATCACGCGCAACTTACCTCATTTCCATTGGTAACAATATCAACAGCTGTGCCTCGCCTATCACGTCACCTACATTTTTGCACACTTTGCTGCCAATGACATCAAAGGCTGACAAGTTGCCACTGGTAATGAAGCCAGTTGCTTGTGATGACAATATGATTTTCATGTTAAAACCCGGTGACCAAACCTTCGTCGCAACTTACTCAACCGATAATCATAGTAATATTGCATCATCAGTTGAAATTTGAACAGACATGCTATTCAAGCACTAGCAGTAGCTTGTGTCTGATAAAATTATAAATATAATGTTACCAATTTTAAGAGCTTACCATGCTGATGACAGTGAATATAGACAACGTCATGTAAGTTGACTGTGAGAGCATAATCCCAAAATTGGCTTTTTTCTCGTTCACATGAGCCACTCATCAACTTGTTGGGTGTCCACTTGAGGAGCATACTTTCATTGCTCTTATGCAGTGATAGGTATCCTGCAATAGGGTCCTCATCATGCTGTGGAAAGGAATTTCAATGTACACTTAAAAAACTTCCCATGGATACAAAAAATTGACCACTATCAAGTAATAGAAACACGAGTGGAAGTTTGGGAGAATGAGAAATGCTGTGGGAACACAAGCCACAGGCGAGTGTTTCCACAGCTTTTTCAAGTTCTCCCAAACTTTCACTGTTTACTTTGATCATCAAAATGTATATTGCCTTTGCACGTGCCATCATTACGTCAACAACTTGTGCTTGTTCTGTGTTTCTATCAAGTTGTAGTATAAATCTATGCATTCTATCACAAATGCCATTCTCTGATTGGCTATGCTACTCACTATCCTATCTATTCTGTGATAGATAGTGAACTCTAGTGAAGCAGCGTGTGCTAGGGGCCGCTTCTTTGTGTTTTCAGAGTGTCAACAAGTAGAATTATACTAAAACAATTAGATCATTTGCTCTTGATTTTTACATGTATGAGTGGTAGATGACTTGGGCTGTGCCCTCGCATAACTATCACGTGATAGAAATCTTGAGCTCATAATCTAATTGTTTAATAGAAACATAATTTTTAACCAATCAGCGTGTGTATTTTCTCTGGGCTGTTTTCTAAATAAATTTTAAACGCCATCAGAGTCCGATGATTCTATCAGGCTGGTCATGGATACTCAAATGACTGGCAGAACTTTGTTCCAGCCACAAGAAAGAGGCCAGTTTATAGTAACAAGGCAGTTTATTCCTCCTTTCTTCAGCACTGTTTCTTAATTTTAAACAACAAACACCAACATACACAAGTACACGGCAAGCTTTTCAGTGAAATTATTCACACATTATATAACCCTACATTTTCAGACAAAGGCTACCATTTCCACCATGGAGTGGACACAAAAGAGAAGGCTTCTTTAGCAATAGTAAACAACTTTACTATCATCTCAATTCTTTTTTTCCATTTGGTTTGTTTTAATTTTTGGTTATGGATTAAGCAAAGGATGGAATTTAGTCTTATTTTTAAATAAAAGCCATTTTACAATAAGTTGATTTTCCTCACTGTGACACAGTCAGATTAGCTATATTGCAGCTCAGTAAACTATGTTGACCCGTTGTTACACATTGACTGTCAAAAGCAGACAAAAATATTACATATAAAGTGCATATAAATTTACTTACTGGTTCAAGATACACATTGTTCTTTCCATACAGAAGAGCCGCATGTGAGTTCTGATGCAGTGACTCTATGTGTTCTCTGGCCAACAATGGTGCCACAGCTAAGTTTTCATCATGAGAAGATTTTGTGGCTCCAAGCTGTGGCCGTTGAGATGTTGTTGTCGCAGGGGTCTGCTGAAACAATCCACTGTGTATTCTATGTCTTTGAACAAGTTCATCTGCCGTTGGATCAGACCAGTAACTATCAGGAGTTTTCATCTTTGAGAAATCCAATGCACATGGACCATCTAGATAAAACAGAAATGTAAAAATTATTTGAAAAATATAAATAAGACAGATGCTATTTGGTTAACCAAACAATAAGCAGAGCAAGCCATTGAACTTGGCCTACATACTCATCGATACTCAGAGACTAAAATTAAAGTAATGTACACAAAGCACAACTTACTTTTATTAGCATAATACACCATGCATAAAAGGCATGCAAAACTCCTTGAAAATTAACATTTCAAAAAATACAAGTAGTACTCAAGCAAAATTAAAAACAATATATTATACACAGTTTCTAGTAAAATTACCTGAGATAAATCACCAAGCATTTTTTAATATATGTACATATAGGCAAGTGAATTAATCTGTCAGAGAGCAGCTTATCAGGTTACCACTTTTGTTTAGTCTACATTTATCAAAAACATTGTTTGAAATTCACAGTTTAAATAAATATGAACGATAAATTATTCACAACTCAAAAGAAGCACTTAAAAAGAATTTTAAATTGATCAATATGTTAATTGTAGTACAGGTGGAGTTACTAAATAACATACTGTGCATAATTTATACATAAAGGCATAAACCATGTATTTCATAAAGTAAAAATCACTTGTTCCACCTTTAACAAGACTTTTCTTTAATACTATACAAATATTACAACTTACAATACAAGATAAAACTACTGCAGAATCTTCATTCCAATTTATAAAATTGATCTCCAAATTAAAAGTTCTATTTATCACAATTCATTTTAAAGGCTTCAATCCCCAAATGCTTTTATCGCACAAAACAATGCATTGAATAGTTTCAAAGGACTGGTACAAAAACATGTTTTATACATGTTGTTATCTGTCTCTGCAATAATTGAATTTGTTACTAACTCATTCCAAATATCAATTCCTTTATTTCATATGCCTTTCAGAGGGTCATAGCAAAACATTATACCATATTTTGGTTCATCCATCCTAATAAAAAAATGAAAAATGTTTTAAATAATACAATTTATTACTGATGTTCTTGACCTCAATAATACATTTCTAGCTTAAATTCTGATTGGTTCACTGAATCTCAGTTACCAGCCAATTTATACCTGTGTCTGACCACACATAGAAAACACCAATTTTTTTGCCAGTTTAGGAAGGTTCTGTTGGAAAAAAAATTACTGAAAGTAGCACATTTGGTAATCTTTCTATCAGCAAAATATCAGAAATAATAGGCCTTATGCAACTCAAAAGCAATTATCTCAACTACCTAGAGTTTGATTAAAAACATTTAATTGAAAGGACTTGTACAACAAAAGCAAAGGAATGAAGAAGAAAAATAGCAAAAAATTCACTCAAAGTTCAAAAACTAACACATCATCACTCCAGTTCAGTTACTGAAAACAGATTTCAGCATAAAAATAAGCAGTTAATGGCACCCCAGTGAAGTTTGAATGTTACCTTTCAATGGACCGGTATCACACAACATTTGTGACAATTTTTTTTGTATCTTTCATATAAACAACACAACAACTCCACAAATCACTTCATCATGCCAAATGTAGTAAATAATGCAAAGTTTTGTAAAAATCTATTGCAAACTGATGAAAATATGGAACCCCAATTACTTGCCAATGTTTACAAAGAATCATATGTAAGGTGGCAAGCATATAGTGATAATTTTGGTACAGCTAATGTTCTGTATTTTCCCAATGAATCTGTTATTAAAGTTCATAGCCTACGTTTCGGCGTCATCGTGACACCATTCTCAAGGCAAAGTGAATAAATTAATGCAAAGATTAGATTTCTAAATACTTTACAGTCTCTACAAATTATCATAATAACAAAGGATCACAAGTTCTTCAAGTGAATACCTTTGAGCGAATCAAGTCCGTTTGCACGTTTAGAGCATCTCCTTAACTATCAGGCAATCATATATGTTCGAGCATTTATTAAGCATGTGAAATTGTTCTGAAAGACAAGTAGGTACTAACAGTACTTTCGAATTATGTTCACTCATGTGTAAAACGTACAAAATGCTCAAACAAATTTGATTGCCTAATTAAGGAGATTAAATTTGGAAATACAGTTAACGATAAAGATTAGCGAAAAAACTGAGCAACATCCAGAACATTTCCTCCTACAAGCTTTCATTCTTCCAGAAGCTTGTTCTGTGTCGAGGTTTGAAGTTTTCCTTGCCGCAACGCATCTCTTCAATGGACATTCAAGCTAGCTTCGAGAAAGCCTTCTGGCAACTGGAGCCTTCATTATCCGACAATAAGAAGGAATTAGCTGCGGCCACCCTTCGATCGATCGCGCTTAACTACATCGAGTGCAAAGCCCCCAAACCACCGAAAGCGCTACAAAGAGCTATTGAGCAACTAAAACGAAGAGATGACATCGTAATCACGAAACCAGATAAAGGTACAGGAGTAGTTGTTATGGATAAGGCAGAATATGTTCGCCTTTTGAGTGAATCTTCCATCAACGATACAGCTAAATTTACCGCCGTAAGTT